AGAATAGCAGGATGTTTTACCTTCCCCCTTTTATTCAGACTCTTCCGAACAATCTGTTTTCTAATCATATTCTGTGAACAGCATCACTAACAGCTTGGATAATGTTATCTTAGTGCGTGTACATTTACTAAACCAGCCACATAGTGTCCTGTTAGTTTTCACCAATGTTTTACTGGTTTAAAACAAAACAAAACAAAACACAATGAATTTTTTTAAAAAATATATTTTATTGATTTTTTACAGAGAGGAAGAGAGAGGGATAGAGAGCTAGAAATGTCGATGAGAGAGAAACATCGACCAGCCGCCCCCTGCACACCCCCCCTCCGGGGATGTGCCCGCAACCAATGTATAATACATGCCCTTGACCTGAATCGAACCTGGGACCTTTCAGTCTGCAGACCGACGCTCTACCACTGAGCCAAACCAGCTTCGGCCACAATGAATATTTGCATTCCCCCAAATTAGGTCCATGGGGTGTTGGTAAGCAATGTGGGGGGACAGTGTTCCAAGGTCCATAAATACATTTGGAAATCGTGGTTTAAAAAACTATGAGGTAGGCTTCTTTACTGGGATTTGCCAAAGCCTTAAATGTGCTACTGAGTGCTGGATAGCTCCCCGAGGGCGTGGCTGGGGTGTGTTTATACCTTTACTAAACCCTGGGCCATGGTGCGCTTTTGAGAGGGACTGGTCTCCCCAGAAGTTTCCTTGGATACTAGCCTGCATGTAAAGGCTGCCCCAGAGTGCAACACGCGCTCCAGAAATTGTGTTATCCTGTAAACACGAATCCTGTCTTTGATGCACGTTATCAAATGACTTTCCCTAAGGCCAGTACATTGCTGATGTGGATATAAATTGTTAACCTGCTTCGCTAAACTCTCCCCCAATGGTGACTGTGAATTTAAACCTGACTTCATTTGGTTGCGTTTCTTTTCCAAGGTACTGATTACTTGCTGCCGCTGATGTGAGCACCTTCTGATTTCTCTTCTTACCTATCGGGCTCTGTGGTTGTTGTTCTTATGAACACAAATGGTCTCTTTTTATAGTGGACACGATTGCAGAATTTCGTATACGTATGGCAGTCACTGCTGTTTTTGTATTTGCTTTTTAGCAGTGCTCTTTTTGAATTTGTCACACTTCTTCTACAAGTTTATGAATCCATTCTCGAAAGCCTTTATTTTTATAGCTTTCTCACTGTGTTGAAGCTGAGAAAGTCCATATATAAAACTTGATGCACTTCATAATCGCTTCCTGGTTTTTTGTTGTTATTCCCATTAGCTTTTAGCCCCTCTGGAATTTATATTCATTTATCTTGCTGTCTCGCTCTCCCCTCTCCCCCCCAAAAAAATCTGTTTTACAGCACTATATATTCTGTATCCGTTTTTCCTTTCAAAATTAATTTATTATACCCAGGCAGTCCTTTCGTAATCGGGGGGGGGGGGGGGGGGGGCGGGAATTATCTCTGCTTCCTAAATTAGCAGACTGAGACGCATGGGAATTTATTAGTGGTCAGTTACTTTGGCCAGGGTCCGTCGGGAGGCAAGCATGTTTTGTGATAATGTGATGAAGCCACGACCTTCCTAAACGGACTTACACTTACTCTGTGATTTTTTAAAATTTCCTGCCTGGAAGCTCAGGGGAGAGGCCACTCGGAAGAACAGAAGTCTGCGTGTTTAAAGATATTTGAAAATTAACATGGAGAAAGGAAACGGTTAGGAACCAGCGTGACTCATAAAAGCAGCCGCTTTACAAACACGATCAGGTTGAATCCTTCAGTCCACCGTGCAGCCGAGAAAAAGCAGAGACGGGGCCACTTCTCCCGCCTGGGAGCTGGGAAGGGCCGAGCCAGGGCTCCTTCGGGACGTCTGTCGCTGTCGGGGTCCACGGACAGTGTCTTAGAGGCCCCGGGACCTCTGTGTGGACAGCATCAGTGCTCTCTCTGAGGAGTCACAGCACGGACTCTGATAGCTGCAGTGAACAAGGGCGTGTAGAATTAAGGACCCTTTTGCTGAAGGTTTGTAGGTGGGGAGCACATGGACATTCTTTCCACAAGGCTGGACCTGGGGGCCCTGGAGGTGACGAAGGAAGGGGTCCCCTGGCGTGGGAACCACGTCGGTGCTCAGAGGGTCAGCCCCTCTTCTCTGGGCAAGCCCCTTGGCTCAGCGAAGGGCACCTGAGCTCGCCTTTCTTTTAAGCGCCCTTGCTCTGCAAGTTCACGTGGACATTTCGGAACAGTTCCTCCTGCCTGGGCTGAATCTTACATCATCAGGCCACGCTGGTCCATTTGTTGTTGCTGTTTTTGTTGTGTGTTTTTTTTAATTTAAAAAAATATTTGTTTTATTGATTTTTTTACATAGAGGAAGGGAGAGAGATAGAGAGTCAGAAACATCCATGAGAGAGAGACTTTGACCAGCTGCCTCCTGCACACCCCCGACTGATGTGCCCTTGACCAGAATAGAACCCAGGACCTCTCAGTCCACAGGCCGACGCTCTATCCACTGAGCCAAACTGGTTTCAGCTTGTTTTTTGTTTGCTTGTTTGTTTTTTAACAATCTTTATTGTTCAGATGATTACAGGTGTTCCTCTTTCCCCCCTCCCCCCATAGCTCCCCTCCACCTGATTCCCACCCCACCCCAAGCACTGGGTCGTTTTTTAAAGCCCACCAAGTCCCATGTGGAGGCAGCAGCTCTCTGCAGACACAGGCGGCTGCTTGTCCCCCGGGACTGATCCCTTCTCAAGGCCCTTGGGAGCCACTTTTGTGGCCATTCCCTCTGGTCCCACAGGCCCGCCGTGGAGGAGGGGCGGCGGGGGCCGCTTGGCAGGGCCCGCCGGTCTCCCGGTTTGCAAACCGCTCTTGCAGGGAGCGCCAGGCCAGCCCGGAACAGGCGGCTCCTGTTCCCCCCATTGTGTGCGGGGGTCGGCGCCTTCCCCCAGCTGACCTGAAAAGTTAGAGACAAAAATCGTGTCTGCCTTGGGAGGGGAGCGTTCTTGCACAGAAAGGAAGGAAATACCTCTGTGGGATTTTCCCCCCCTCTCTCCATCCAAAAAAAATACAGAGCCTCTCTGTCTTGCATGCAAAGGCCGGCTTTAAATCTTTTAGGTTTGGATTAACTTTGCAAAAGGGAAAAAGAAAAAAATCTGACAGGCTTTCAGATATGACGAGGCAGAAAAAAACTTTTCCCCCCTCCGTTCCTGTTGTTCCTGTGTGCAGCCAGAGGCTGTGGGCTGAATGGGGGGCTGTTACCATCACAATGGTCAGAATGAGCAGCCAGCGGGCTCCCCCCAGCACTGGCTGCCTTTTCTGTCAGCGGACTTTTAATCCAAGGTGGCCAAGGCAAGAATAAATCTTTCTCCTCCGGCCCCCTCAATGGAAATAGGTGTTTTCAGTGCCGGGGCTTAGAATCTTGAGTCTTACCTTTTCCCCTCAGAAGGAAAAAGAAATGTGGTGGGGTTTTCTTACAGTAATCACCATCCTAGAAGGTTTCCTTCACTCTCCACAAAACCCACGGACTTGATAGACATTTCCTCTTACACCGTGATTGTTGGTTTTCACTATTGAGGATGTCAGCAAACACGTCGAAGATCACGTTTTGCTTGCAAAAATAAAGTGACTTTTATGGGAATATTTTTTCATGCGGTTGGTGTCCAGAATATGGGTGCTGTTTCGTTGAAGCCACGTGGCGACATTTATTTCCTGATAATTTCGTAATCCCACGTCTTTATTTTAACCGTACTCAGAGCTATTAAAAGGGGAGGGGGTGGAATCTTCGTATTCTTGGACCGACACTCTGTATCGATATGCCGTGTTCGTGTAGAAAAAAATGTAAATAGCAATTCCTGGTCTTCAGGTGAGTTCAAATGAATAGGTAATGTGAAACATAATTAGTAATCTTTCAACTTGATAAGGATTGATTGCTTAGGGTTGTTTGTGTGTAATTGTGAAACTGCCTATACGAATTAAACTCTGGATCACTTTTAATTACTGAACCACACTTGGTTTAAAAAAAATTCTGTGTGATTTTTGGTAGAGTGTAAATGTGCATGCATTAGTTGGCTACATTTTAATGGGGTTATAACAGTATATTTACTGCAAATTTACTCTTGATAAATAAGACTTGAAGTGAAACAAAATATTTCTTTTGGCTTTATTGTATGGCATAGTCCTTTCTTTTAAGCTCTTTGAAATAGAATTACATTACAACAGAATTTGTATTATAATTGCAAATAACCAATAGAATTTATGTTTATTCATAGAATCATTTTTTTGTAACCCAAATGACTCCGATATAGCAATTTAGGATTTGATACAAAAGAATGATTAAGTTATTTTAATATACTTTTACTTGCATTTTTTTATATGCTAGATGTTTGGTTTAACTTTAGCAATAAAAGAATATATCAAAACAAGTTATATAAATCTTGAAACAAAAATTTAGATTATTCTACATAATATCAGCTGAAAATAGTAAAATTATTTTTATAGCTATCTTAACTTGATTATATTATATTCATTATTTATTTGGATAGTTTTTTACTATCATGTCTTATTTTATAAAAATCATTAATTTTTATTTGCAAAATAGTAAATTTAGTTTCTAAGTAGGATTTATTTTACATGTTGTATTATAAGAGAATTTAATCCAGAATATATTTGAATTTGCCCAAAATGATTTTTATATTATAAAGATATAAACCAAGGACAAACATATTCTATGTTATAAAAGAATGCCAAGGTTTATTCCTCCATGTACTGACCACAATAAAAATCTCATAAAAATACGAAAAGACTTGACAAATGATAAAGCATTGCTGTATTAGACACTCAATGAGGGGGAAATAGATGTAGTAAATACATGCGTTAACCCATTTGGCTTTTAATTTGGTATATTTCACAAGCTTAGAGTTATAGTATACCCTCTTGCAGAACGAGATTCTTACAATTATTTTACTTCATGTCCTATACAAACTGAGCATGAATGACACGTTTCTGGTGGTTTCCTCAGGCAGCCATGCTGTTCAGTTCCGGAGTCTTCTGGATGGGCCTGTTATTCATCCCCGTGGCCTCTCTGCTCCTTGACGTGGTGTACAAGGTGTAAGTACCGTGCTCAGTTATGTGCATAAGAACACAGGTGGATGTTAATCCACACATTTCTCTACTCATAACGTCAGCTCCAGGACGTGCAGTTTGCAGAATAGGAATTAGTAGTGTTCGTTTATTCTACATAAATAAATAAAGAAGGAGTGACTGAGGAACTAGAAATCTAAATTAGTTTAAAAGACACAAAGCAGGTATCAATAGTTTTCAGTGAATATTGGAGAAAACGTTTTTAGAAATCAGCCTGAAAAAAACCAGTGAAGGTAGTGGAAGATTTTTATCATCGCCAGACATATATGTTACTAGTGAAGAGGAGTTGTGAAGTTTTTTGCTTGCCAGATTCTAAACATACATAAAATATAGAATGAAAGAGACTAGGACTTGACTAATTTATGTCAAGGATTATAAGTTTTAAAATGTCATCTCTTCCCACAAAAAAACAGTACCATGAAAGTTAGTTGTATGACGGTTAATAACTATGAGAGTTTTAATGTTATAAACCTAATCCACTTAAGATTATTGTATCTATAATTTTATTAATGCTCAAAATTATTGTCATTTTTTATATTCTGGTGAAACACTGTTGTTCTCTGGTCACTGTTGTACTTAGAGGCATGATAATAAAACGGTTTTGTGAAGTCTTTAGTCTTCACACAAATATTTCCATGCAAAAATTTGTTTTTGCAGTATCAAAAGGACTGCTTTTAAAACCTTAGTAGATGAGGTTCAGGAGCTGGAGGCAAAATCTCAAGACCCAGGAGCAGTCGTGCTTGGGAAAAGGTAATGTACACTGCATATGTTCTTTTCCGAGTGAATTTTACATGTTTCTTTCACTAGCGATCGGAAATAAGTGGTAAAATTTATATTTTATCAGTTAACAAGGAACTGGCAATGTTGTTGACAAATTTTGGAATCAGAGAGATGTGGATTCAAATCAAAGCTGCCATTTTACTAAGCTGTGTGTGACCTTAGCCAAGTTGCTTAATGCTACTGGGCCTTAGTTTACTCATCTGTAAAATGGGGGTGATAATTCCTACCTCAGGACTAGTTGTAAGAATTGAATAAAATACTAATAAAGTCAGCCAAAGGCCTTATATGCATGACTATCAGCCTAACCAATGGAAACAAACACAGGGGGGTAAGGGCATGAGTGGGGGCGGGAGGCAATGGGGGGATAAGGACCATATGTAACACCTTAATCAATAAAGAAAAAAATGTTTAAAAAAATACTATAAAGTACGATAAAGCAAATAGCTTGATGCCTGTTATACTCATTAAATAAATAGTAGTTATGCCAAAGCTGGTTTGGCTCAGTGGATAGAGCATTGGCCTGTGGACTGAAAGGTCCCAGGTTCGATTCCGGTCAAGGGCATGTACCTTGGTTGTGGGCACATCCCCAGTAAGGGGTGTGCAAGAGGCAGCTGATTGATGATTCTCTCTAATTGCTGTTTCTAACTATCTCTCTTCTTTGTAAAAAAAAAAAAAAAAAAAAAAAAAAAAAAAAAAAAAAAAAAAACAATAAAATATATTTTTTAAAAATGGTTCTAAGCAATACTAGAGGCCTGGTGCACAACCTTCGTGCACTCGGGATGGGGGGCGGTTCCCTGAGCCCAGCCTGCACCCGTTAGCAGTCCGGGAGCCCTCAGGGGGTATCCCACTGATGGGGGAGCAGGCCTAAGCCATGGTCAGACATCCTGACCGCGGCTGCAGAGGCGGGAGAGGCTCCCGCCAGCACCAGTGCACTCGCCAGCCATAAGCCCAGCTTGTGGCTGAGCAGCACTCCCCCTGTATGCGTCATAGTGACCGGTCTTTCCGCTGTTCGGTCAATTTGCATATTACCCTTCATTATGTAAGATTGTCTTATGGAATTGAAAGTGGAAGAAAGACTTTTGGCTTCAAACAGTATCCATAATATCCATAGTTTGTCATGAAAATCAGAGCCTGTCTTAGGACAAAGTGCCCTGCAATTGCATATGTGACTTGGTATGTGATTAGGACCTGATAGGCACGTATCATGCATGAGTACTCCAAGCCCTTTCCTCAGCACCACCACATCAAATAAATAAATAAATAAAAATAAAAAGCAAAGCTAGAAAGCTAATCAAATGTATTACATTGGCAAAGCTTTACAAAAAGGAAATGAAAATTATTTGAAAGCAAGTCTGTAAGGAACCCCAATCATGAGGGTAATGCCAGGTATTTTTTTTCTCTCTTTCATCACACTAATATAAGCTAAACCGTGGGAAATATGTCGCCCTGATGTGTGTCACCTTCTTGGGATTCGCTGTTGTTATTCTGTTTGACACAGTGGAGTAAGTGTTAGGCTGGGAACATAAGCTAAGACCTTGGCCTCCAGCCCTCACTTGTTCACATGAGGCCAAAGGGGCACATCACACCCCAGTCTGCCTCTCTGAAGCTGTTAGCGTTGGTTTCATGGGCACTTACTGCATGCCAGGTGCTGCCCTTACCACCCATATCTATTATCGCATTGAATCCCTGTAACAACCGCATGCAAACCCACCATCTGCATTTTTTCCAGATGGGGGAACTGAGACTTAGAGAGACGATGTACTCAAGGTCAGAAGTCACAGAGCTGAGCTCTGAGCCACATGAATTATTCCCAAATCCCTGCTCCTAACCATTCATTGTTCTGCCTCCTGGCGCTACCTGCTCAAGGACCTGATAGAGCCACAAAAGCAGCCAACACTGGCCTGACACAGTCCTTGGCCTCTCTGAATCAGTATCCCTGTGATGGGATGGGGTTGATATTACCTATTGTCCAACTTAGAGATAGTCTCCTCCTCCCTCCACCTTCCCCTCCATCTCTATCCCTCCATCTAAAAATGTGCCTCTTTCCCATTGCATGGCATACACAGTCCCTCAATCAGTGACTTCTCTCTCTCTCACTCTACTATAAAAAGGACATGGTAAGAATTCTGGTTTGCACGACTGTGAATAAAACCATTTAAGAACAATTATTAGGGAAAGGCTAGTGATGATACTTGGTACTGCCCTCGGGAGTAAATTTCTCATATCTGTATGTCAATGAAACTTACATTAAGCCCCTTCGCGGGATATTTAGTTTTTGTGGTTTGTAGTTTATCAGTGACCTCAGTGTCTTCCAACTAACTAGGTGATAGATAGAGGAGGGGGAGAGGGGAAATCTATGAAAGGAGAAAAATCTTAATTCGTTGGAAGAGTCTTCATGCTGAACTTATAGCATTCTAGGCAGTTAAGGAATTGTCAGATTGGTTTTACTGCCACGATTGTTTTAGAAATCTTGAACAATGATATCACTATCAAATTTTTTTAAAGTCTGTTAATTTTATCTACATTTTCAAAGAGTAGTGGGTGGTAAATAGATATTTGACTTGTAAGTAGTTAATTAAAAATAGGATACATAAGAACATAGAGTTACATGGATTATTCTTCCCAAATTAGTACAATCCAAAATAGTGATGGTTTATTTTATTTTTTTTTTTGACATAGAATGATGCAGTTCTTTTTTTTTTTTTTAATTTTTATTTATTTCAGAGAGAGAAAGGGAGAGGGGGAGAGAGATAGAAACATCCATGATGAGAGAGAATCATGGATCGGCTGCCTCCTGCGTGCCCCACACTGGGGATCAAACCTGCATGTACCCTTGACTGGAATTGAACCTGGGACTCTTCAGTCTGCAGGCTGATGTTCTATCCACTGAGCCAAACTGGCTAAGGCAGAATGATGCAATTCTTAAGGAAGACTTTGTGAGTTGATCATCCCTAATTTTTTAAATTTTCAATAAGTGATGCTATGAAGTCAAGCTAAACATAAGTGAAACTTTGTAACATGTAGGCACAGTGTCCAGATTAGCATTTGCAATAATTTATTTCCCATCTTTACTCATTGTCAGAAATTAAAACATCTTTGTTAAAATAATGAGTCTGTTTTTAAGTATGCTACTTACCAGCAAATTGGGTACATTCCAATTTTAAATCAAAATGGGCATCAGGGATATATATTTCATCATCTTAAGCATATTGCTTTTAAACCTAAAATATTGGGAGAATCAGTCCAAACCTCACTCCCGACCACTGTGTAGCCATGGCTCTTTAGTTTTTATTAATAAAATGACTTAAAAGCTGAGTTCTTTGCTGTAACTTTTATGTGGACATGCTCTAACACTAGGGAGTGGAAGCATCTATAGTTCCAAAATCCAAAAACAAAACTTCAAAAATCCATTTTTTCTCATAGATCTATAGCAAACATTTCTTGGAAAAACCTAAACCATTTGTTCTGTAAATATAACATTAATATAATGTTTAATTTTTTCTATAATGTAAATGTTTATACATTTTGTAGCACAAATATTAATTTGGGGAATTTCTTGGATTCCGCTTGAGGGTATTATATCTACAAGTTGTAACATCTTAGTTTCTTAAAAAAAAAAAAAAAGGAGATCCAAAAGAATTAAAATAAGGAATTTGGGCACTGCCCTCATTGGAAACAAGGCAGTTATTTTTATATATATATATTTTATGTGCATGTGAAGCAGTGCATCTATAGACAGGCAAATCTATATTAATAAAAGAGAAACATGCAAATTGACCGTACCTCTGTGGCCACAAGCCACACCCACCAGCCAGTCAGGAGCAAGTATGCAAATTAACCCAACCAAGATGGCTGTGGCCATGGAGTGTGCAGGAGGCTTGGGTTTCCCCGGCAATAGAGGAAGCTTCCTACCCTGGCCAGCCCTGGCCCCTTGCTCAAAGTTACAAAGTTTCAATTATAGAAGATAAATAAATCCCAGATACCAGGGCCTCTGCTTGGGTCCTGGGGAAGGGGCGGGGGGATTGGGGCGTGGCCGACCTGCAAACCACGATAGGCCCCTCGCCTAGGCTGCCCCATGGGAACCCCCACCCTGATCTGGGACACCCTTCAGGGCAAATCAGCTGGCCTCTACATATGTACCAGGCCTTTATCCTATCTAGTAAAAGAGTAATATGCAAATTGACTGTCATTCCAACACACAAGTTGGCTGCCCCCATGTGGACACAAGATGGTCAGCAGGGGAGGGCAGTTGGGAGGAACCAGGTATGCAAGTGAGGGCAGTTAGGAGTAACCAGGCCGGCAGAGGAGGAAAGTTGGGGGGGACCAAGCCTTCAAGGAAGGGCAGTTGTGGAGGACCCAGGCCTGCAGGGGAGGACAGTTAGGGGTGACCAGGCCTGCAGGGGAGGACAGTTAGGGGTGGGTGACCAAGCCTACAGGAGAGGGCAATTAGGGGCAATCAGGCTGGCAGATTAGAACTTAGGCATCAATCAAGCTGGCAAGGGAGTGGTTAGGTGGTGATCAGGCTGGTAGACAGAAGCAGTTAGGGGCAATCAGAAAGAGGGTCCCAGATTGGAGAGGGTGCAGTCTGGGCTGAGGGACACACCCCCATGCATGAATTTCATGCACTGGGGGCCTCTAGTATGATAATAAGACACATAATTTTTTATAACTATCTATAGACATTAACCAGCATATCGTCTTTAGCCACTTTTAATAGAATTTTATACAGGATCCTCAGGTGAATCCTCATTAATTTGCCCATCACCTTTGTTCAGTCCAAAGCCTTAGCCTTAAAGGAGTAGGGAAGTATGGGTGCCAGGTAATTTGGTCATATGGATGGTGATGGTGGTCTCTCCCAGTCTTTCCCTCTATTGTTTATCTTAACAAAAAGCAATGAGAACATCACCCAGGAACTAAGAGAAAAGAAACAGCAGTTCTCAGTTGTCATGCTGGATTTTATGTGTGTGATATAAATTTCTAGGGGTTTAGAATAGGCAGACAAATGCTTTCCCCTGCTTACTCATCACTGTGACAATGGTTCTGTCCAGCATTGGTAGAGAAGTGACCGTACAAGGAAATGCTCTCTCCTCCAGAGCAGAGATTAGGCCTGTTACATTCATTGTTTATCTCCCCACCACCTAATACAGACAGATAGCTGTCGCATGCTACAGCATAAGCATTCAATCAATGAAGGGTTATTTACTTTCCTGAGGAGATCCATTTTAATGACCCAACCAAAATAACTTGGCAACCCAACATAAAGACAAATACATATTTACCTCTTTCAAAAGATTACTGAAAATAGTTTATGACAATATGTTCCAGGATAGTAAATGGGTTTACATATACTATATATATGATTTCAGAGAGGAAGGGAGAGAGAGAGAGATAAAAACATCAATGATGAGAGAGAGTCATTGATTGGCTATACACACCCCCACCGGGAACTGAGCCCACCACCCAGGCATGTGCCCTGATCAGGAACCGAACCCAGGACCCTTCAGTCCACAGGCCAATGCTTTATCCACTGAGCCAAACTGGCTAGGGCTACCTACTTTTTTAGTGTTTCTAAATGAAGTATTATTTTAGAACATGTTATCATTCCACCTCATCTCCATCAAATATCCAAGTTGCAAAATGTTAGCAGGTTTGAAAATAAGGTAACAATATTTAAGTGGTAGTTGTTGTGTATGTAATTGCAATAAATGAATTCAAAAGTTGGCATGTATAATATAGGAAAGACCATACAGATTGAGTAAAACCACTGAGAACTGTGAAGAAGATAGAGTTTTTAATGAGTAGGAATCCTACTCACTTTTCTTCTTATACTATGTTCAGCTATTCAACAAAACTGAACTTTTAACACACCTATTAATGGTTAACATGTTTTATAATGTGACTTGATAGTAATATCAGTACCCATAAACCTCAATGGCACAAAATGGCATGATGTTGACCTGATGAGTAGTTCTCTAATTAAAATAAGATAAGACTAGAGAAAATAGTAAACACAAATCATCATCACTTACTATTTACTAAGCACCCCCCTGTGTATTTCTATTCTTTAGGAGGGACTCCACTCTATAAGAAACAATAGTAGGTAGCTAAAGCAGAAAACACACAGAACTCACAGCTACTGGAGAAGTGGAGGGAGAGGATTATAAATTAAGCACATGTAGCCAAAGGCATCTCCTGTTAAAGTAGTGTTAAATAAGCACCCAGGCATCTTTCATTTTGTGATGATCTCTGTTCTAATTGATTTTATATATTTTTAATTGATTTCAGAGACAAACGGGGAGAGGGAGGAGAGAGACATCAATGATAAGAGAATCATTGATCAGCTGCTTCCTGCATGCCCCCTACCAGGGATAGAGCCCACATCCCAGGCAGGTGCCCTGACCGGGAATCAAAATGTGGCCTCTTGCTCTGACCAGTTTGGCTCAGTGGATAGAGCGTCGGCCTGCAGACTGAAGGGTCCCAGGTTCGATTCCGGTCAAGGGCATGTACCTTGGATACAGGTATATCCCCAGTAGGGCATGTGCAGGAGGCAGCTGATCAATGTTTCTTTCTCATCAATGTTTCTAACTCTGTATCCCTCTCCCTTCCTCTCTGTAAAGAAATCAATAAAAATATATTTTCAATGTGGCCTCTTGGTTCAGGGTTTCCACGCTCAACCACTGGGCAACACCAGCCAGGCTCGTTGATTTTTTTATAACTTTTGGGGATCTGGTGAGTGGTGAGGAGAGCAGCATTTGTTGAGTGCCAGTCACTATGCTGGGAACTATACCATTCACTGAGTCCTCTGTCAGCCTGGGGTTAGGGATTGTCCTCTTACACATGAGTTGGCTGAGAGGGTTTGCCTAAGGGGGCCCGGCTGATATGAAACAGACTCAGAATTAAACCAAAGTAGGACTGCAGAGCCCATGCTCTTTTCAAGCAATGTGCTTCTTCCTCAGGAAAGACTGTCTTAGTGCTTTTTTTTTTTTTAACACTAGACATTCGCTTTATATAGAACAGCTGAGTGAAATTCAGTGTCGCCTTATTTGAAATGTTACTAAACAACATTGCATTTTCTTATATCATGCGAGCTCCCATAATGTGAAAGTCAAAACTCTCATGTCCGCCTTCTTCACACTTGGATGTTGTAATGTGAAAGCATCATGCATTTCGGAAGGCCGGCCTGAGACCTGGGAAATGTATTTGGTGGGGGGAAAGCTGCTGTGTAATGATACATCACTGTCCCCCTCGTCTTCTGTAGTCATTTCCATTTTACTTCCCGGCATCCCAGCTGGCCAGGCTCTGCTTACAACATCAGACCACCTGCTGCTCAAGCTGCCCACGTCCCCGACGCAGTTACATATTTCAGTGTCCCTCAGGGTCCCCCGGCCTGTAATGCTAGATCATTTTCCAGTGGAGTAAGAAAAGGGACTATAAAAATGGCTCCTTTCCCTTCCCCTTATCTGTTTATTTCGCTGGCAAAAGCAAGTTCTGCAAATATTTGCAAAACCACTGGGGCTGTAGATGAATTAGCTTTCTTGCTTTAATGTAGCTAATTCCCAGTGACAATAAAGTATGTCTAATAAGTACCAGTTAACATCCCTAGACTTTAAAAAAATATCTGTGGAAGATTACTGCAGATGTCAACATTTCTAAATATTTTACTTCGGCAAAAGCCTAAATATTTGTGTAATTACAAGTTCATTTCGCAGAGGATCCATTTTTTTGGTTTGTTTTTTTCTTTCTTTTACATATGATTAAAAATTGTTCCATTTCAAGGTCTCAAAATAATTGGCAAAATAACTGAACTGACATAACTTACAGCAATTTAGCTGAAGCTTTTTATACTGGGGGAAATGCAAGATGGAAAATTTTCAACTGAGTCAGTTCCAGTGATTAAAACAAAATTGTATAAACATTTCCTGCAATGCATATAGATTTCTTATTAGCTCTTTATGCTTATTATGTTCTTTGATAGCAAAGCAAAGTTTTATAAATCAACCAATGGAGAAATGGTGTGGTTGGGAGAATTGATGATGTTTCAAAGGGCATTTCAGGATTATCATTCAAATTCATGTATTCAACCAAAATTTGACTTTTCTATTATATAAGACAGTTCTATGTATATTGGGGGGGGGGAGGAAGGGAGGGGGCGGTGAGGAACTGATGCACTATTTCTTGCCGAATCCTTTTAGAAGTTACATCATTAATCATATGAATTTGTTCCTGTAGAAAGGATTATTCTAAACATTTATTGAAAATGAATTTTTCTTGTCATTTTACCTACCATAATTATTTTCTGAAGACAACTCTTTTATCTTAAAATGAAATGACATTTCACATTGTATCAGAATTAGTGGAATTTTCCTAATAAAGTAGTCTAAGAAATTTCTTCTTTGTGTAATTTCCAGGATTTCTTTACATAATTAAAAAAAAAGTAGATTGCATACCAAAATATGCTCAAAGTAGGCAAAAGCTATAATAGTAATTAATTATTGTCATTCTAAAAAAACAAAAACAAAAACGTGTGCTTAAAATATACATAGTAAGTCAACTAAGATTTTTAGAAGCAAATAAACTATTGGAAGATTTTTTTTTTAATCTTGTATTCATTGTATTGTGCAGGTTGTATATTTCCGTTTGACTTAACTATAACTGGGAGGTGGGGAGCTCTTTTGACTGGATTATTGGGGACAAAATAGTCTTCTATCTAAACTCTTGAAATCTCATTAGCTGAGAAAATGGGGGTAAAAGAGAAATCACTGGACCACAGATTTCCCAAGCCATCTTTTGTTTAAGCCTGAGGCTCTCTGGTGGGCCTGCGGGCGCGCGGGGTCTCTGCTGAGCTGATAATTCCTTTCGTTTGCACCTGCTCCGCAGCCTCACGGAGCGGGCACAGCTGCTCAAGAATGTCTTTAAGAAGAACCATGTCAACTTGTACCGGTCCGAGTCGCTGCAGCAAAACCTGCTCCGTAAGTATTGGCAATTTTTTTTTTTTTGTGTGTGTGTGTGTGTGTGTGTGTGTGTGTGTGTTTTAACTCTGCCATTACTTCCTAGCATTCGTGAGAACAGTATTTTGACTTTAGGGACATTTCACTATTTTAAAATTAGCACCCACACCAACTTTTGCCTATTTGGCAACACGCTATGTAAATAGCAAATGCTTAGAGAATCCTCTGACCTCAGCCATCTCGCTTTTAGCTGGGAAGACGGAGCGCTTTAAAATCTCGCTGCTTCCATTGAAAGAAAAATAATATTTCCACATGCCCCTGGCTTCCTTAAATCTTAAAAGGAACCAGTAAAATAAATCTTAACTCTTAAAAGCTCCCTCTGCATTGTTATCTTTTCTACTTGAATAACTTTGCAATAGCCTTTTCAGCTTTCATGCAGAACAATGAAACATATATTCTCCCCCTTCAAAAATATTTATGAACATTTGGAGTTGTAAGAAATTACTAGGTATCATGCCCTCTTCACATTTCAAAAGAATATAATATATAAAGCCCTGTAGTAAATGTATTTATGTTAGTAATATATCTTTTTGCTTCATGTTGTTTCCACATATAATTTATTTTTGTTTATATACACTCATATTGAATGCTTTTGCTCTTAATACTTCAAGAGATGTGATCCCCTGGGGAGCCATGTCTTACCCATGTGCCCCCACCAGTCCTGTTGGGGTTTGAGTGAGTTCATTTGTCGTTACCCAAAGCCAAGCAGAATATTGTCTGAGGGAGAGACCATTCTCCACCATTCGTAGCTATATGTGCTTAGCGCTTCTTCGCTTTTATTCTTCCTCCCCCTCTCCTCCACCTAATCTATGTGGACATACAGGTGCCCACTTGACTGGGCTCCCGATCCCTCTGGAAGCCAGGAAGCGGAAAATTAGAGGCTTGAACCTGAGATGCTGACCGGAGACTTGAGAGGGATTGAGAGTGCCGGGGATAGAACGTGTAGACTGAGCCAGCCATCCCCCCCCTCCTCATGTAGCACTTGAGTCTCTGTCCTTTCCCAACATTAAAAATTGGTGTCATTTTTAATGGGGGGGAGAAGGAGACAAGCATTAGTTCGCCAAGTTAGAAAAGGAGCACTCAGCACTCAGACGAACAGAGATTCCCAGTGACTTCATGCTGATCGTTTCTCTTTTATCTTTAACTTCCAGACGGGTATGCTTTCTCTCAAGATGAAAATGGGATCGTCTCACAGTCAGAAGTGATTAGGGCCTATGATACCACAAAGCAGAGACCGGACGAATGGTGATTGGGGAGGGGCGGCCGGCAGGCAAGCTCGCTGTGTCGCTGAGGATGGCTCCTGGGTCTTCACCGGAATCTGCTGACCAATTTCAGCCCGGTCCAGGGAGGCGAACGGTGGATCTGAGCTCACGGCGGTGACTGACATTCAGATTCGTGTACATTATAGACATAAGCACTGTGCGACCTACTGTAACACCATCTCTTTCCGATTTTGTAAAGTCTTGGCTAAGTCTTTGTAAAGAGAGATCGAAAACGACCTTGAATTTTGCTGGGAGTGCTTTCTTACACTGAGAAGAGATCCGTATTCTTAAGCCGTTACTGTGGGGCTATAACTTAACAATTTACTGGTTATACCACAAAGTGACCAACTATTAAAAACAAAACAAAACAAACAAAAAAAACCCTCTAAAATGGTCATAACTGAAAGGGGCTCTTGATATCCAGACTTAGATTTCAGGATATGTTGGAGGAAAAAAAACCAGCATTCTTAAGGAACTGACTCACCTTACTGAACAAAATTTCTAAACAAGACATTACTAAGTGTTTGTGTCAAAAATTGTCTCGATAACGTGTTTGCCAAAGAAGTTCGATAAATGTATTTCTTGTCCAGTAGTCATTTGCCCAGAAATGTGAGAGTTTACCTCCAGTTCTGCTATAAGATCTGCATGCTTGAACTTTTCCAATCTAAGAGTGATTTGCAAAAAAAAAAAAAAAAAAAGAGTATTTCAAGGCATTTGCTACTAAAAAAAATCTGTGATGTTGCACCTTTGGCCTTACAAACGCTTCTTTCTTGTCCGTCTCGTGTATTTGTTCAAGTCAGAGGTCACGCGTGGGAATGTGACTCTGTCGTTACCCTACTGATTTCTAAAACTGTGTTTATGTCTCGGTCCTTTCTAATGAGGTTTCATCATCGTTTAGACTTTTCTAAAAATCTGGCTTCTGCTGTAGATTGCGTGATTATCATTTTGTCCTCAAGTTTTCTCTCTCCAGAAAAATATGCTTATGTGTTCGCATGGGATTTCTCATGCTTCTGTCGGGATGTTTGAAATAACCATGTCAGACGAACGCATGGGCTTTTCTCCTGCGATTTGGTTCTCCCTGTGCGTTCCCACTAGAGGCGCCTGCTGTCTTGTGTAGCACACGCCGTGCTATGCTGACTCCCTGAAACTTAAGGCCGAGGATTACTTCACAGTTCACTTGTCAAGCAGCTCCCTAAATGGGTCACATGCTGCTAATTGGCACAAATAAATAGTACATTTTCCCCCTTTAAAAAAAAAATACCTATGTTACTCAAGCCTTATAACTTTTCCATCAAAGAACACGTTTCACCATGAGCTGGTTTGGTTCATACGTTTCAAACTGTATGTTCAGTTTCATGATTTGGAGCATGTCCAAGGCATCGGAAATGCCTGCTTTGCTACCAACAATAAATGGTGAAGGGGCTGTTTTAAAACCACAACCCATTTTCTACACGATTTTTAAAATAATTATTTCATGTAGGAAGAACTTAAAAGGAATTCTAGTTTTCAGAGATCGAAGCAAACTTTTTGCCTTTTATTCCCAAAAAAAAGCCTGTTTGCCTTTAAGTGGACTTACCAGCAAAATAGGTAGAGATTCTTTTAAAAAAAAAAAAAAAAAAAAAAAAAAAAGGGAAGGAAGGAAGGAAGGAAGGAAGGAAGGAAGGAAGGAAGGAAGGAAGGAAGGAAGGAAGGAAGGAGCAAACTGGAATTGAGAAGAGAGGTGATTTTCCAAATCACTCCTTGAATTGAATCATTTCACATTCTCTTTGCCCTTTTTCTCAATCTGGATGTAAAATTAGGCTGCACACCTTTTCTTTCCCTGCATTTTTAGCTGTTTGGTTACAGGCAGGCCTCCCACATTTTCTTCAAATAAGAGAGGCCATCACACCTACATAATTCTAACCTAACAGGGGTCAGGAGTTGACATACTTCCCTTCCCAGACCCTCCCCGCTTGGGCTGTAGAGGAAGGGAATCGTGAATCAAAGCATCCAGCAAAGCCACAGGCGGAAGGTCCCCCTCACAATTCTGGAGCCACAGGCTTTGACTGCCCGCCGAGTAGATCTGCAGAAGTGGCTTTTCTGGGTCTCCCGACAGTGGAAGTCCAACCACAAAAATTAAAAAACGAGAGTGACGGACCTCCCTCAAGAGAAGATCTTGTAGCAGCTAACAGGCACCAGTGGCTTCCACCTGCCCTCCCCTCAGTGGTGGCATTATTCTCCAGAGCCTGAATAGGAAAATAGGATGACTATAATAAAACTTAATGTTATGACTTCAGAAAACTGAAAGTTCTGTTTTACCTCGAAACATGAGTTGTTTCTGTGGAGCTCTCCCACATGAAGAGAATACTCATGGTTAATAATGTATGGGATCATGATCAGAAGTAGGAACTAATTTATGCTTCTTTTTTATCCCATAGCCCTGTGTTTGAATTATCAATATTAAGTCCTTTTTTTTTTTTTTTTTTTTTGCTGCTTGGGTGGGAGTGGGGCAGGTTGGGGGGCGGGGGCAGCAGGGAGTGATCTCCTTGGTGAACCTTAAAATATAACATTGCGATGGCAGTGACCTCATAGTGCTGCATTAGAGAAAACCCTCTGGTTCCTCAAAAAAATATCCAAGGAGGAAAAGCGTAACGCAGTTTACCAGGACTACAGTGAATAGTTGGAGTGACTTTTAATGTGTGTTTTCTGAAAATAAAGGACACCTACTCTTCCATTAAAGAGCCCCTTGTAGGGACTCTGGCAAATGCTAACGCCGTTGCTTTCAATATTTACAATTCAGAAAATATTACTTAACAGCCGAAAACCCTCATTCATTTTGGATTGAAAAGCTGGGAGTTGCTTCTTTCACATTGACTAGTACACAGTGACCCTGTGCATGAACTTTCTAGATGTTTTATATAACATATAAAAATATATTGGTGTCTCACACCCAGAAAGATGCTATATGGTGGAAATTACTAGCAGGGAAATGGTGTTTCTCAGGAATGTAGTAAATTTAAAATGAGATCTGTGCTGCCCACTCCCCGCTCTGTCAGATGTGAGCCTGCTTCCGCAGGGTCGTGAAGTTAGTGGAAAGCATCTTTGGATCGAGTCAGGTGACTGTATTCAGCTCCATAATATTGGCCATTGACATAAATGGTATGGTCATTCAATAGAATCAGTGATTCCTCTTAATTTCGGGGGGAGGGGGTGCTGCTAAGCATTTATTCTGACCATCACATTGTATGTTTTTTTTTTTGTTTTTTTTTTAAATATATTTTATTGATTTTGTACAGAGAGGAAGGGAGAGAGATAGAGAGCTAGAAACATCGATGAGAGAGAGTCATCGATCAGCTGCCTCTTGCACACCCCCTACTGGGGATATGCCCGCAACCAAGGTACATGCCCTTGACCGGAATCGAACCTGGGTCCCTTCAGTCCCCAAGCCGACGCTCTATCCATTGAGCCAAACCAGTCTCGGCCACATTGTATGTTTTAACATCCAATAGGAAAGTCTCCGGGTAGCTTGTTGGGCATGTGTGCACTGTACGTCACTTACTGGTGTAATCTGCCACTTAAAACGTTCTTTCAGAAAACGAGTGCTAGTCTGAACGTAACAGGATATTCGTAGTTTTAAGTTATTTATAACAAGGTCATCATTACCACAAAGTGAAATAATCGTTAGTGTTTATTTCTGTGTAGTTGCTCTTGGATAGTTCCTGATTTTAAAACTTGTATCATCAAGGAAGTCTAGAATCTCATAACCATCTACAAAATGTATCAAGAAAATGGCCACCCCATTCAATCATCCGGGCCAGTCCTATGAATTCTTTTTGTCAACTAATGTAACGTGACACCGTACGGTTTGTTACCTAAGTAATGCTTTTTAATGATGAATATTTCTATAATGCCTCTTAAAGAGACCGTAGCCTGATTTTTCTCACATTCAAGTAACTGAAGTCACTTTGTGAAACTTAGTTCTACTTTGCTGCATTTTAATTAACCTTCAACAGCTATTAAAATGGAATGTAAGTTAAATTTTAAAGGAAAGGAAATAAATGTTTCTCATTTTCCATCTTGATTTATTTTCTGTATGAGAGCAGCTGTGTTTTTGATAGGTTTATGGTTTGCATGAATTAATATTTAAAGTGGTCCAGGCCAATGCATGGCTATTGCTGTAAATCTTGATGTTTATTTTTCCTTTTAAAATTCTATCATGGCTTACCTGGAATTTAATATTCAGGGGGACAAATTAATTGGTCCACTGCACAACTTTTTTTAACAAGTAAATTATTTTATAAACAAATTTGAACAGATTTAATTGAAACTTTTGTTTAGCTGGCCTCTGAGAATCTTTCTTAATAAAGCTCACAAAACTCAGCAAATAAATCTCCCTTAAGTAGGAAAAAGGCTAGATTTCATAAACTCGCTTACTCTGAATTAACAGCAACTTTCCATAGGTAAATCTGCCCTTGCAAAGATGTGAGCAGAATATTAAAAATAATAATAAATATTTTAATGTTTCTTGGTTCTAGAATAGAAGCCATAACTGCAGTAAATACTGTTTCTTCTTTGTTTTACTACTTGAAGCTTAATTTTTCACATTTTCAAGTTTATTAGATTAAAAAAAAAAACAGGCAACCTTGTAAGGCAGCTACTATGGAAAATTGCAGTTTGCATTCATGATAAAATTATATTTTCAGGCCCATGAAAAGCCATTCCTGCTGAAACTGCTGTAGAAATTGTGGCGCTGCATGACTGGAGAGTGTTGAATCTGTGATCATAGTAGTTTTCTCAGGTTTGTTTGTGTCGATGTTCAATGCACTGTGTTTTATAAGTAGTTACTAAGTTGAGTAATATCCCGTTCTATGCAGTGTTACCTGTCATTGGCCTTTTGTGAATGTGCATGTTTTAAACTGCAAATTTTAAACATTTTGTCCTCTAATTGTTATTAAAAATGAAATAAACTTTACCATTACATAAAAAGTACTGTTAAAGTTTTAATTGC